AAGCCCTTGATCCCAGGACTCTGGGATCATGACCTGAGCCAAAGACAGAGGCTTAACCAACTGAGCCCCTCAAGTGCCCCAAAGATGTCTTAAATAGGACACAAAAACACAAACCATAAATGAAAAAAAAAAAGATAAATTGTGTTTTGTCAAAGTTAAAAATTGTGTTCTTTGAAAGATACTGTTGGGGCAAAGATACTGTAAGTGGCCAAAAAGAATATGAAAAGATGCTTAATATTTTGTTAATAATCAGGGGAATGCAAATTAAAATTACAGTGAGGGGGTGCCTGGGTGGCTCAGTTGTTGGGCTTCTGGCTCAGGTCCTGATCCCGGGGTCCTGGGATTGAGCCCCACATCGGGCTCCCTCCTCAGCGGGAAGCCTGCTTCCCCCCTCCCACTCCCCCTGCTTGTGTGTCCCTCTCTTCCTGTATCTCTCTCTGTCAAATAAATAAATAAAATCTTAAATATAAGTAAATATAAAATCACAGTGAGATGTCACCACCTACCCATTAACATTAAAAGGATTGACAACATCATGTGTCGTCAAGGATCCACAACTGGAATGCTCATACGCTGCTGCTTGCGGGGGGGATAAGATGAAAAATCACTATGAAAAGCAGCTGGGCAGTTTGTTACAATGGGAAACATGCACTTGCAATTTAACTAGCAATTCTGTTCCTAAATGTTTATCAGAAAAAAAGTGAAAACACATAACTTTACAAAGACTTCTATATGAACTTTCATCTTATTCATAATTAGCAAAACTTGAAACAAACCAAATGTTCTTAACAGTTGACTGGATAAGCAAATTGTAGAATAGCCATACAACAAAATACTATTTGGCAATAAAGAAGAATACATACAGGGGCACCTGCATGGCTCAGTGGGTTAAAGCCTCTGCCTTCGGCTCAGGTCATGATCTCAGGGTCCTGGGATCGAGCCCCGCATCAGGCTCTCTGCTCAGCAGGGAGCCTGCTTCCTCCCCTCTCTCTCTCTGCCTGCCTCTCTGCCTACTTGTGATCTCTGTCAAATAAATAAATAAAATCTAAAAAAAAAAAAAGAAGAATACATACAACAACACAGACGAATCTCAAAAATATGTTAAACAGAAGAAACCAGAAACAAAAGAGTACCTACTGTATGATTCCATTTCTGTGAAATTGTAGCAAAGGCAAAAAACTAAAATGGCAGAAAATAAATCAATGTTTGGTCATGTCAAAATGACTCTGGCAACTTGAATAGTGTCCTTTTCCCCCTCCTAAACATAGGACAATAGGGTTATCGATAACCTTAATAATTGCAGTAGAATAACACACAAATGTATTTCAGTTTCAATTCATGAGTTTGTAGTGATACAAAAACATACACACACATGTTGTTTATAAAAATAAGACCATGACAGGGGCACCTGGGTGGCTTAGTCATTAAGCCTCTGCCTTTGGCTCAGGTCATGATCTCAGGGTCCTGGGATCGAGCCCTACATCAGGCTCCCTGCTCAATGGGAAGCCTGCTTCTCCCTCTCCCTCTCCCCCTGCTTGTGTTCGCTCTCTCGCTGTGTATCTCTCTGTCAAGTAAATAAATCTTAAAAAAAAAAAAAAAGACCATGACAAATTAAAAATTGTCAGTGGTGGCCGCAAAAATGCTCTTGTAATACTGTGTATATTTTTTAAATATTTTATTTGTCAGGGAGAGAGAGCACACAAATGAGGTAGGGAGGCAGGCAGGCGGGAGAAGCAGACTCCCCGCTGAGCAGGGAGCCTGCCATGGGACTCAGTTCAATGACCCAGGACTAGATCCCAGAACCCCTGGATCATGACCTGAGCTGAAAGTAGACATTTAACCAACTGAGCCACCCAGGCGTCCTAATACTGTATAAAAATATTTTTTACTGTATTTCTTTTTTTTTTTTAAAGATTTTATTTATTTATTTGACAGAGAGAGATCACAAGCAGGCAGAGAGGCAGGTAGAGAGAGAGGAGGAAGCAGGCTCCCTGCCGAGCAGAGAGCCCGATATTTCTTACTGTATTTCTAACATTTGGCCTAACCCCAGAGATTTTAAATTTAAGAAATGTTTAAATTAAGAAATTAGGAAATGTATGGTTATTGAGGGAAATGAAAATGTGTTTATTTGTGAAGGTGTAAGCAAATTTGTTTTCTTAGGTCAAAACATTTTTTTTAATGTTGTTTTAACAATGCACAACACTTTATTTTTTTTATTTTTTTAATTTATTTGACAGATCACAAGTAGGCAGAGAGGCAGGCAGAGAGAGAGGAGGAGGAGGCAGGCTCCCTGCTGAGCAGAGAGCCCGATGCGGGACTCGATCCCAGGACCCTGAGATCATGACCTGAGCTGAAGGCAGAAGCTTTAACCACTGAGCCACCCAGGCGCCCCTGCACAACACTTTTTTAAAACTTTTTATAAACCATCTGATCTTGGGTCCTACCCACAGAAATTCCCTGAATTCACGTCACGTGTCCATTCTCAGGCCACATAGCTTTCCCTCCTTCTTTCCACATCTGAAATGCCAGGTCCTCTGAAACCTCCGTTTCATTACTGTAACTAATGGAATGCCAAGCAGTCTCCTAAATTCCAGACCACTCTTGACGCTTACCATTCTTAAAGTCCTAGGTTTACATTAGGTCCCCTTTACTTTTGCCCCTTTGAGGACTCCAATTAGTCCACAGATATTTTGTCAGGATTTATATATTTTCTCCCTTTAGGGTGGCATTTAATCAATAGGGAAACCAGACTAAAGAATCTGGATGGATTCATAAAACTCATCATTGTTCATGGAAAAACAACTTGAAGCACAAGCTCTCTGGATAGTTTTCAATCAATCTGTGTCAGAGTCAGAAAAGTTGTTTTTACCTATCACCAGCTGGGACTATTTGGAAAACACAGACTCTGAATGGGACCTCCCAGGAAAGGGGAACTTGTGTGTGGGAAGTGAGGAGGAGTGAGATAGGATGGGGATGCCACCAGAAATATGTTCCTGTGGGGTGCCTGGGGGGCTCAGTGGGTTAAGCCTCTGCCTTTGGCTCAGGTCGTGATCTCAGAGTCCTGGGATCAAGCCCCCCCCCTCCCCCGCCCGCCAATAGCCATCGGGCTCTCTGCTCTGCGGGGAGCCTGCTTCCCCCTCTCTCTCTGCCTGCTTCTCTGTCTACTTGTGATCTCTTTCTCTCTGTCAAATAAATACATAAAATCTTAAAAAAAAAAAAAAAAAAGAATTATGCTCCTGAATGTGACTGGGGGAAGGTGGAAATTTAGAGCTAAAAAGGACCTTAGCGATCATCTAGTCCATTCTTTTTATCTTACAGACTAAGAAACAAAGGCTTGAAAAGTAAAACAGCAGTAGCCCGCAGACTAGACCCTAGGGCCCCCTGAAGCCTAGTTCAGTCTCCTTTCCACTGTACCACTTGCCTGTTTTTGAAAGTGATGTATTTAGAAAGCTAAAACAGACAAATTCAGGAAACAGGCTCTTCATAGATTTCAGGGTTTGGTGACATTAAGATTTTGCCAAAACACAAAAACTGCCTGAGCTGTAAAGGTATTTAAATATTTGCAGAAGCTAGTTTAACTAGGTCTAGTATTTCCTAGGGGGTACACCTCCCTTGTTTATGTTTCTTAATTAAAAAGTTGAAAACAAGAAAGTGGGGAAAGAGGCCAGGGGTTCCATCCCGGCACAAAATGGACCCTTGATCATTCGTTCCTCATTTAGCAATTTTTAATACCTACTGTGAATGAGGCACCATGCCAGGTGCTGGGAATCCAAAGAACACAGTCCCTGCTCCCTAAGAGCTCACACTATAGCAGTGAAGACAGAGTATTAAAGTAGTAATTACATTAAAGTGTGTTGAGTGTTACAATTGGGGAAATGCCAGATTCTGTGGATTTATCCCCTGAGAATAATTCAAGCTGTTTCTCTTCTGTTATCAGCATATTCCGGGGCTGCCTCTTAAGTTCCCCAAACATGAATTCTTTTCAATATAACCCTTAAAACAGCAAACATTTACTGAGCACTTACTGGTGTGCCATACAGTGTGTGAACATCTGCAAGAAAATTCCAAGGTAAATTAGCAATGTAAAAATCATCCTATACAAGGACGCAGTTAAATGTAGTATCACTTGACGGCACAGGCAAGCTGAAAAACAATTTGATATATCTTGATTTTTATAGTATTCCTAACAGGTTTTGTCAGAAAATTACCGTGTATCCCGTTGCACCCCCCCCCCCCCCCCCCCCCCCCCGTCTTTTCGGAGCGCTAGATGGCTCTACCTACTACCTGGCAAGGGTCTGAATGAGGTCTGTCCAGCCTTAAAGGGCCAGCTCAGGGCTGTGCTCTACCAAACCTCTCGCTGCCATAAGTCTGCGTCCATCTTTCGCCCTCCTTCTCTACTCTTAGAGGTCCCGCATTAATAGAGCATTTAGCAAGTACTCTTTTTAGTGGTGACTTTGTACATGTGTGTCTTCCCTTAAACTGGATGGATTGTTAAGGAAAGGACTCGCCAGCCCTCTATGATATCACCTTAAGAGGCAGTCCCCCCTCATCCGTGCATTCATCACAGAAACAGAAATTCCGCTCATAATGTAACAGACTATCTCATTAACCTTGGGGCCCTATTTCCCTCCCAGTTGCAGCAATCTGGTTTATTCCACGGGGTGGAGAAAAGAAGCCAGGTTGGCTGGGTGAGAGAGGAATGGCGTCAGTGTGAGGTCATGCCACATTATCCCGAATGCCACCTCCACTCCGCGGCGACATTCACGCAGGATTGAAGGATACAGCCGGACGAAAGATAGTTTGCACCTCATGCAGACTGTGCGCAAAGAGAGGGCAGGACAGAGAACAATGCGGAGAACCTCGCGGGGCGTGGCAAGGCACCTGGGCGCCTGCAGCGAGCGCCCGCAGATAGGGAAGGCGGGCAGCGAGGAGCCACGCGGAGGCCTCGCAGGATGAGGCGGGACTTCCGGAAGCCATTTGCTTGAGTGGCAGGGGAACCGGAAGTGGGGGCGCTGCTGCTGGTGTTGGGGCCCGAGGAGGGACGCGCCGGAGCGGGGCCGCCGGAACTGAGCGAGCGACAGACGCGCCACCCGCCGACGCCGCAGCCGCTTGGGGACCGCACGGACCCTCTGCCTGAGTGAGTGCAGCCAGGGTCGCGGGAAACCGGCGGCTTAGAGGTGGGGGTCGGAAGGGCCTGCGATTTGTTATTGTTGAGAGGCCCGCGACCTCCCCTCCCCCACTGTGCGGGCCCCTCCCCCGCGCCACCTCCCCCCTCCCAGCCGACCCTTGGGGAGCTTCGCGCGCGCGCGCCTTCTTCGCGGTCCTGCGCAGCTTCCCCAGCCGCCCGCGCTGTCCCCGGCACCCCCCGGACCGCTCGCCGCCCCCCTTAGAGCCTCCCACTGGCACCCCACCCCCAAACCTGCCCACTGGGCTGGGCCGCTAGCCGCCGTCTCCACCCGCCTTTCCCGGGGGAGGGGTTGGGAGGAGGACTAGGGCGGCGGGGCGGCGGGGCGGCCGTCCCTCCCCGGCCCACCCCCCTCGAACAGGCCTCTCGGCACCCGATCTCGCTGTGGCCGGCGGTTCGCCGCCGCCAGCCCCGTTTGTAGCAACTCTTCTGCCTCCGGTCTCAGCTGTTGCCTCTTCCCTCCATCCCCGCGCCCAAACCTCTGACCGTCCCTTCCCGTTCCCCCTACCGGAGAGGCCTTTAACGCGGGCCCAGACCCGTTACTCGGTGGTTTGTTGACTGGGCACTTTTTCCTCCCCTTTTGTTGAAAAATTTCAACTCTTTAGAAACTTCTCCGTTTCGTCTAATGTGTTCAAAAACCCTCAGACTGTCACGGCTCCAAAGGGATTGTTTCTTAGAGGGCCGTGTAGTCCAGCACCTCATTTTAGGGATGAGGCCCAGCCAGGGTTGGAGATTTGCCCAAGGTCAACCAGCTGCTTAAAAAAAGGCCAATGGACAGATTTTCGCAGGTGCTTTTTACCAGGTCCGTCCGTGGCCATTCACCATACCAGATCGAGACTTTCTGGCCTGCAGGTTCGCGATATACCCGTTGCATGGTGACTCACTGTTCTGCTTCTCATAGCTCTCAAGCCTGCATTGTTTTCCATGATTGAAGCACAAACCTTAAGAAAAGCAAACACTTCAAGCTCTGGCTTCTTTTTTAGAGCGTGTCTGCAGAGAAAGGGAAGATCATCTGCACCCACTCTAGGATCTCATTTTGTACAGTTTTAAATTGGGGCGAGGGGGATAAAGGTGTGGAGAAAGGAGGAACAAAAAATAGAGTATTGTCTCTCCTGAGCATTTGAATACAGCTTTGCCCCGGATAAGCCCTCGGTCTTTAGATTCTCCTGGGCACATTGTTCTGATATAAAGGCTGCCTCCTTGTGGGGGAGCAGGGGAGGAGTAGGAAATCATTGTGCTTTAATTTGTTGGCTTGGGCGGGCATTTGATAATAAATTATGGATGTGCTGGAACCCCTGGACCCAACCTCCAGCCCACCGAGGCAGGGCATTCTGGATGAGGCTTTTTTCCCTTTCAGAATAACCCTGCCAACTCCCTCTGAAACAGAATGAAGAGTCGGGTCAGAGTGGACAGTCTAAATCTTTTAATTCTTGGTGCAACTTTTCTCCTCCCTCTGTTTCCTGGTTAAAGATCCAGCTGAGCTTGAGAATTTATATTTCTTTGTTGTTGGAACTGGTTTCTGATTAAACACGCTACACCAGCTACACCATAAGTGTAGTATAAGTATCTGGAAATTCTGGTGCTCACTGTCACAGTCCTAGTTAAGGTAGAAAGAAGATAGAAAATACAGGAAGATTGGGAAATGTGCAAGTTGCTTACTCCTCATTTTTCCGAAGAATTTATATTTTAATGGACAGTTAAAGATTTCCTGGAATAGTCTCTCCTGGTAAATTAACGAAACTTTTGTTCTTCAGACCTTTATCTCCAATCTACTTGGTTTCTCTAACTGAACCTGCTGTTTGTAATCAGAAGTTAGTGACTTAAAATAATCCCCCCGCAAAGGGATTATTATGAATCGGGAAGGTGAGATGGGAGTCAGAATCCACCTCTCTGTTGGTACTTTTTTTTTATTATGTTACTGATTACAGGCTCACCGTTACCAATACTGTTGTGTACGGTATTGCTCTGAGGCAGGAAACCCAAAATCATTCAGGTTTGTGTGTCCTATCACAGGCTGTACTCTGGATAGCTCCTGTTCATTCCTCATTTCTCTTACAAAGAGTATAGCAGTTTACTTTATTTGACTCCCAAATTTGAATCTTCTAAATGCATAGATCCCTAGATTATGCATTTCCAGCTTTGTTCGTAGAAGACTGCATGGGTTCATGGCTCAGTTTTTCTTTACTTGCTCTTCTAGGATGTTACCAAGCCATAGTCATCAGTATAACTGAAAGCTACTTTGTATTGTGAGAATTCGATTTGGCAAAACAATACAAAATCCAAGTGTCTGCAGGCCCAAAGAAACAAATTTGTGCTCAGATACTTTGCCCTTGTTGAGGAGGAAGGATGACCTTGTATTCATAGTTTAGGGAAAAAAAGACGACGACTACCTAATTGGGAATATTTTGCAATTTTCTCTCAATTCTATCTGCCTGGTAGCCTCTGATAAGTGACATCTTTTCCCTCTGTTTCTCTGTCTCTGTTTCTTCATTTTTTTTTTTTTAAAGATTTTATTTATTTATTTGTCAGAGACAGAGGGAGAGAGAGGGAGCGAGCACAGGCAGACAGAGGCAGAGGGAGAAGCAGGCTCCCTGCTGAGCAAGGAGCCCGATGTGGGACTTGATCCCAGGACCCTGGGATCATGACCTGAGCCGAAGGCAGCCGCTTAACCAACTGAGCCACCCAGGCGTCTCCTCTGTTTCTTCATTTTGCCCGTGAAGAAGTTTAGTACCTACATGAAAGTGTTTTGCTCAGTGTATCAGGATGCCATTAAATTTGGTTAGTAATGATAAGGTGTATAAGTGAATCAAATTAGTAAATGAGAATTTATCATGTCTTTTCTATATAGAGTCTAACATCCTTTGCTCAAGAATGATAGGCTTTGGAGGTATATCACTCTGAGTTCCAGTTCCAGATCTCCCTATCATGGAACAGATTCTTTAAATCCCACTGAGCTTCAATTTTATTAAAATAACAAAGCGCTGGGGTGCCTGGGTGGTTCAGTCGGTTAGGTGTCTGCCCACCCTCGCTCAGGTCGTGAACCCCCACGATCCAGCCCCAGGTCGGACTCCTTGCTCAGCTGGGAGCCCAATTCTCCCTCTCCCTCTATCTGCTGCTCTCTCAGCTTGTGTGAGGTGTCTCTCTTTCTCTCTCTCTGTCAAATAAGTAAAATCAATAAAATAATAAAGCACTTAGCACAGTGTCTTGTAAATAGTAAGTTCTTAATTTTAATTGTGATTATTATTTTACAACAGTTATTTACCTGTTGGAGGAACTCTGAAAATCCATGTTAGTAAATTGAATCCTAGATCCAGAAAGATTTTAGAACTTAAATAGACCATTGGTCTTGAAAGTAGAGTATGTGCACTCCCTGGGGATTACAGAAGATAAATCATTGGAATACAGGAAATAATTTAGAACTTCTTTTTACATTTATTTTTTATGTAAAAGGAAAAGTAAACTTTATTAATATTTAATGTATAGATTAATAGTAACTCATATATTTACTTTGTAAGTAAATATATAATAGGACACATTTCAAAAAGATTCTAGAATATTAAAGATGTTTGGGCACCACCAGACTGGACCAGTCTTTACTCATTTGCTTTAGTTCACTTTATGCTTTCTTGTTAGGGGTTCAGCTTGCCTCCCTTTGACTCTCGACATTGGGGGAATCTACTGTGAGAGACAGGCCATGTCATTTTATAGTCATACTTGTTAGAAATTTGTCTAACTGCACATTCTGTCCACTGGCCCTACTTTCCTATTTGGGGACATGCAAAATAAGTTTAATATCTTTTCCTAGTGATCTTCAAATAGTTTGACATTTATGTCCTGTCTTCCTCCTCCCTAACCAGTTTTTCTACAGATTATAAACATGCCTATTTCATTTAGCTGTTTCTAATATGACAGGCTTTCAGTTTCTTACCAGCTTGACTCCTTTCCTCTAGACACCCTCCAGTTTGTCAAAATTCTTTAAGCTTTTCAAGGTCTGAATATTGTGGGGCACCTGGGTGGCTCAGCGGGTTAAAGCCTCTGCTTTCGACTCAGGTCATGATCCCAGGATTCTGAGATCGAGCCCCGCATGGGGCTCTCTGCTCAGTGGGGAGCCTGCTTCCTCCTCTCTCTCTCTCTCTCTCTCTCTCTGCCTGTCTCTCTGCATACTTGTGATCTCTTGTCTGTCAAATAAATAAATAAATAATTTTTTAAAAATTATTTATTGTATTTATTGAATATTGTATCCCAAGAACTGAAATGAAGTTGAAGTGCCCACATTTTATCCTTTAAGTGGTGAGAGATAATGAAGGTCCCTTATATTTGTAGTTTGTCACTCTTTCTTGTTCTTTAACAACAATCCCCAGGAACAGTAGTTTCAGTTACATATTCGTATAGTGAGAGTAGGACAGATTATTTTTCTCTATTTCAGTAGTGGTTTCTCAGTTGATTTTGTGTCAATTAACTTTTATCTCAGAAATACTGAATATGTTAAGTGTCTCTCCAGGCAGGAAAACAAATGAGAGCAAACTAATGAAATAGTTGGGTTTTTCAAAATTAAGGGATGCCTGGGTGGCTCAGTAGGTTGAGCATCCAACTCTTGGTTTCAGCTCAGGTCATGATCTCAGGGTCCTGGGATCCAGCACAGGTTGGGTTCCCTGCTCAGCAGGGAGTCTGCTCGAGATTCTCTCTTTCCCCCTTTCCCCTCACCCCTTTCCCCACTTTCTCTCTCTCTGTCAAATAAATAAATAATTCTTTTTAAAAATAAAGTAAATTAATTAAAAAAATAAGATTCTCCTTTCCCTTTGCCCCTCCCCCCTTTTAAAAAAAAGGGAAAGATAACTATTTAAAATTTTAGAAAATAGCCTTTTGAATTAGTGGAAAGTGAAGTTGTTTGTTGCTCTGTTTCTTATATATGTAATTTTGAAATCCATAAGGTAGGAAAACTTGTTTGCCCCTTGTCTGTCTTAAGGCTAATACAGCTGCTTGAACAGCAGGAAAGAAAGCTTTTTTTAAAATTAAAACTACTATTAAGCACCATGTCAGATTTAACCTGAATAGCCAGACTTCGATCTGGAATTGAACTTAGACCCAAAGAAACTTTTGTATAGAACATATAGAATGTTTTCTTAGTTTAAAAACAAAGCAGGGTCCCTGGGTGTCCCAGTTGATTAAGGGTCTGACTCTTGGTTTCTGCTCAGGTGCATGATCTCAGGGTCATGAGATTGAGCCCCAGGTGGGCTCTGAGCTCAGCAGGAACTCTGCTGAATTTTCTCTCTTGCTCTCCCTTTGTGTGCATGCACTCTCTCTCACAAATAAATAAATCTTAAAATAAGATATTATGGGCGCCTGGGTGGCTCAGTGGGTTAGGCCGCTGCCTTCGGCTCAGGTCATGATCCCGGGTCCTGGGTTCGAGCCCCGCGTCAGGCTTTCTGCTCAGCGGGGAGCCTGCTTCCTCCTCTCTCTCTGCCTGCCTCTCTGCTTACTTGTGATTTCTCTCTGTCAAATAAATAAATAAAATCTTTAAAAAAAAATAAGATTTTATTATTTATTTATTTATTTATTTGAGAGAGACAGAGACAGAGAGACAGACAGACATAGTGAGGGAGAGTACAAGAGGAGAGGAGAGGAAGGAGCAGGCTCCCCACAGGGCAGGGAGCCTGACTCCGGGCTCTGTTCCAGAACTTGGGGATCATGACCTGAGCCGGAGGCAGACCCTTAAGTGACCAAGCCACCCACGTGCCCCCAAAGTTAAATGTTTCTATGTGACTGTTTGTTTTAATCCCCTTTAGTTATTTTTTTCTTTTTCCTTTAGGTATCTTTTAATTTTCCCATACTTTTCTCAGGCAATGAAGCCTCAACCAGATAACCATAATCTGATTGGAGCTATACAAATTCATCTTGCGATTCTTCCCAATTCTTGTATTTTATATGATGTTTTTAGCTCCAGGTAGTTTATGTTGTTTGGGTGAAACGGTTAGATGTAAGACCTTTTAGGGAGTCAGCGTGCACTGCTTTGTGATTAGGGGGCCAGATGTATTGTTACTGGGGTCAAGCAAACCTGACTTCGTTCACTTACTGCACAAATTAGCTAAATTATCTGAGCCTCTTTTTTTTCGTTTTGCAAGGATTGGAAGTGGTACTTATAAAACATGGCATATATAGTCCTTCAGATGGCTGTTATTTTCTGATAGTTGCGAATTTTAGTAATCTAAAGAAATACATACATACAGAGATGGTCCCCGACTTAATAATGGTTCTACTTAATGACATTTTGACTTTATAATGGTGTAAATGCTGTGTGCATTCAGTGGAAACCATATTTCACTTTTGAAGTTTGATCTTTTTGGGGGGGTGGTGCTGGGAGTAAAGCCATAGAAGTTTATTAAGTGAAGATACAGGAAAAGCTCTCAAGAGTGAGAGGGGTCTGGACAAGGTTGCCAAGGAGGGCCTTAGGGTTGGTCTTTTATAGAAAGCTAACCAGGAAACTTAAATCCTTCCTTTCAGGGGCTGGTTATTCTTTGTCAGTCACAGGTGATTATCATAAAGACACCCGCCCCACACGCCACCCACCCCCCACACCTAGGCCGGATGGTCCCCCATTCTACATGCCTAGGACAGGGTTTGGAAGTTTGATCTTTTCCTGGGTGAGGGACATGTGGTAAGATCCTCTGGTGATGCGGGGCAGTAGCAGTGAGCCAAAGCTCCCAGTCAGCTACCTGACCATGAGGGTGAACATCCAATACAGGGACAGCCGTTCTGATTCTCGTGTCCAGTACGGTCTTCAGTAAGTTCTGTGAGATATTCAGTGCTCTGTTGTGAAATAGGCTTTTGTGTTAGATGATGCTGCCCGGTTGCAGACTCATGGAAGTGTTTTGAGCTCATTTCACATAAGCTCGTTTATACTATTTGGTAGGGTAGGTGTATTAAATGCGTTTTTGATTTGGGATTTTTCTTTCTTTTTTTCTAGATATACTTACTTATATTTTAGAGAGAGAGCATGCAAGTAGGGAGAGGGACAGAGGGAGTGGGAGAGAATCTCAGGCCGACTCTGCTGATCCTGGAGCCCACACAGGGTTCAGTCTCAGGACCCTGAGATCATGACCTGAGCTGAAATCCAAAGTGCGACAATTAACCGCCTGAGCCCCAGGTGCCCCGATTTAGGATATTTTCAACTTACAAAGGATTTATCCAGATGTAATCCCTAATGTAAGTTGAGGAAGACCTGTACACAGGGTGTTTTACATTTCAAGTTAGATACAGGTTTAACCCTAAGCTTAATTTTCTTAGACCTAGTGTCATTTGGAGTGGAACTAATTGGTTTGTATAGTTAGTGTTAAAACATGGGTTTGCTTCTGTAATGTATTTTTCATGAATGAAGGTCTGTTTTCACATTTCGAGCTTTGTTACTTTCTGATTCTCAAAAATTACTGCTTTGGCAATCTAGCGTGTTTTGTTTACTCAGTAAATACTTATTGAATGAATAGAACTCAATCCTCTTTCAGAGAAAGCTTAGCTGTATTTGATGATAGTAAGGGAAAGAAAGAGAGTGGTCCGCTTTTCTTTACACCACAAAACCCCAGATGTTTTTCTGTTTTTCATCATCCTTTGTATATGTCAAGTGATTTCTTGAGCCTGATGTCTCTAGTATGTGTTCTCCAGAGTTGATTGAAAACAGTCTGGTGTCTTTGTCTTTCTAGATCAGCATTTCTAGGTTTTCTGATTTTTGCTTAGTCCTCTACTGTCAGATTCTATATTTGGGCTCAGTCATTAATAACATTTTCTTAATGGATACCTGTCAAAAATAAAATACCTAGTAAACATTTGTCAAAAACCAGTGCCAAAGCCTATGGCTGGTTTTGTCACAGTCTGTAATAGTTACTTGTGTGATATTTAGTAACCAGTGGACTCTGTTCATGGCTGTAGCAATTTTCCAGTGTCTAACTGAAACAGCCTAAGAGGCTCTAATGCAGGTTTCATTGAACCCTTAAGTGTCTCATCCCTTGTGTCGTTTGGTACTTACATTAACATGTAATCATGAAAAATTAATGTAGATGTAAAGTATATACTTGGAGCAGATGTTTTCAGTGTAATGCACTATTCCTAAATGATATTCAAACCTCTCTAGAAGTTTCGGGATGCTTCTTGATATTCATGGGACTTAAGTAGTCATGTCCTAGAACTCATGTTTACTGAAAATCAACTCCAGTTTTTTCATTTCTAGGCAAAACCACAATGAGACTTAAATTACTATTTAAAACTTAGCATGTAACATTTAAGGGGTAACGAATAAACATTCCTGTTAATGAATGAAACATGATGTCGACATTTGTCCCCTCAGGTATAGAATGAGCCAAGGAGACTCAAACCCAGCAGCTATCCCACATGCGGCAGAAGATATTCAAGGAGATGACAGGTGGATGTCTCAGGTAAAGGGAAGTGCTTATGTATTACTCACCCAAGAGGAGTCTCTTCAATTTTCTAGAGTCTTTTGGCCAAAGCCACAAGAGTACATTTTTTATGGTCGATAAGAATCATCACTTTAAATAAAAATCTAATTTTACTCTAATTTCGTACATAATTACCAGACTGATGTTGCACCAGAGGAATATTTTGAAAGCATAGTCATTGCCCCCTGTTCATCTTAAAAGATAACAGTGTTTCCACAGCATTCTTTTTTTTTTTTTTGTAAACTTTTTAAATTTTGAAGTGATTTCAGAATCACACAAATACTGCAAAAATTTTAGGAAGAACTCCCCGTATTCTTCATCCGGTCCTGCCAGTTATTGTTTGGCCCCGTCGGCCTAAGCGTTCTGTCTATATGTACTTGGATGTCTACACACCAACATTCAGTGTTTTCTGAACCATTTGAAAGGAAGTTGCAGTCATCATGCCCCTTCACCCCTAAATATTTCAGTGTGTTTTCCAAGAATCAGGACATTTTCTTACACAACTACAGAGTAGTTACTAAATCAGGAAATTTAACATTGATATTATGCCATGTTCACATTTCTCCATTTTTGTCCCAATGTTTTTATGTCAGTTTTCCTCCCAGTCTAGGATCACACATTGCATTGCATTGTCCTCTTTATTATCCTTTACTGTGAAATGTATCTTAGCCTTTGTTTTTCATGACACTGACAGTTTGGAATATAGGCCATTTATTTTGCGGAATATTCCTCAATTTGGGTTTACTGTTTTCCTCTTAATCAAGATTCAGATTACACATTTTTGGCAGGATATCAGTGAAGCGATGTCCTCAGTGCACCACATAGAAGGTACCTGATGTTGGTCTTTCTCATTGGTGATGTTAACTTTGGTCACTTAAGATGTTGTTGGCCTAAACCAGATCTTGTTTATTATGGTATGGACTCATGGGTTCTTATTCTTCCCAGTGGGCTTATAGAACCCATTGTAATTTTGAAGGTCACGCTGTCCCAGGTTTAACAAGTGGGAATCCTTTCAGGGCAGCTCCTGTGTCTTCTTGATGTGTTCCATTGTTCTGTAGCACCGTGTCTTCTTTGTATTATTAGCTGCCTTTTCAGTAAGCTGTTACCACTTAACCATAACTATATTTAACCTTCACCTGTGGGTTTCCAACCATATTTCCTCTTTGGAATAACAAGTTCTGTATGATTTCATCTACCCAGAGTTTTACATTTTGGTATTTAGTGATTTTGTTTATACTCTGTGGTTATACAACTGTTCTAGTTGTATAGTTCTTTCGTTTTTGTCTTTCCAGACTTAAAAATCAGTCTGTCAACTAGCTTACTTTGAGTGGTAGTTAGTACTTTTTTTTTTTTTTTACTTTTCTTGTATGGATCAGCTGCATGGTTATTCTTAATGTTCCTAGTTTGTTTATATATATATATTTTTAGGATTTTATTTATTTATTTGACAGAGAGAGAGCATGCACAAATGGGAGTGGCAGGCAGAGGGAGAGGGAGAAGCAGGCACCCTTCTGAACAGGGAGCCCGATGGAGGGCTTGATCCCTGAGCCAAAGACAGACTCCTAACTGATTGAGCCACCCAAGCACCCTAGTTCATTTATATCTTAAAAAGTATTATGAAGGGGAGCCTGGGTGGCTCAATGGGTTGAGCCTCTGCCTTGGCTTGGGTCATGATCTCGGGGTCCTGGGATCAAGCCCCGCATCGGGCTCTCTGCTCAGCCGGAAGCCCTGCTTCCCTTTCTGTCTCTCTTTGCCTGCCTCTCTGCCTACTTGTGATCTCTGTCTGTCAAATAAATAAACAAAATCTTCAAAAAAAAAAAAGGTATTATGAAATCCACTAACCATCCATGTATTTACCACTCATCCTAAAAAAAAATAAAACATTGCTAATAGAATCGATGTCCTGTGTATACTCCTTATTGATCATTTTCTTTTTCCCACCTCCCCACCCCCAAACCAGTACCCTAAATCCTAAATTTGGTGGGTTTTTTTTTTCACATGCTTACATACTATGTATATAAAAATTTCTAAACTGTATATATAGTAGTTTTGCATGCTTTTAAGCTTTTTGTAAATAGTATGTTTTTGAATGTGTTTTTCTGCAGTGTATCATACATGTTAAAAGCGTAGCTATAGTTTTTTTCCTCCGTATGTTTTTTATTTTATTTTTTTTAAGATTTTGTTCATTTATGTTAGAGAGTGCTGGAGTGGGGGAGGGAGGGAGAGAGAGAATCCCAAGCACAGTGCGTGCTGAGCGCAGAGCCTGATGCAGGTCTTGATCCCGAGGTCCCTGAGATCCTGACCTGTGCTGATGCTTAGCCGACTGAGCCATCTAGGTGCCTCTTCTCTTTAAATTATATTTTTTTGCTATATAGGAAGATACCATTTAGGTGCATTTAGGTCATTTATAACTTTATTAAAAGTTTAAAACTAGGTGTCTCTGTTGTTACTGGCATAAATTAGCAGGCTTTAAATTAGCATTGACTGGAAAAAACATAGTCAAATGGAAGAAAAACAGGAATATTAAAAAAAAGTTTCTTTTTAACCCGTATAGAAGGGTAACTTTACTAAATAATAAAATACATGCTCAGATCTTGGTTTCTTTGGTCCAATGAAAGGAACCAGGGCTACTTGGAGAAATGATTGCATCTACAGCTAGGGTAAAGGAAATAAAAGATGAACCCATAGCATCTTGTAGTGCAAGAGAGCAACTACCCAAAAAAGAAAAGAAAAAACAGATGTATGGCAGGAATATCACAGAAGTGAAGTGTCCATAGTACGTCTCATAGAAGTCATGAGATACTGGCTTGTCTCATTGATGATACTCACTTTGACCCCTTGAGGCCAACCTGAAAGAGCACCCACATGCAAAATTGGACAGTTTGAGCAACATAATAAATCATATTATTGGTTTATAACTCAAAGGATAAAGTAAATATTCACTCATCCATTTTGCTATAAATAAATGGTTGGATAAACAGGGGGAAAGAGACAGTAATTTTAATTAATATGGGGCACCTGGCTGGCTTAGTTGGTAGAGCGTGCTACTCTTGATCTTGTGAGTTTGAGCCCCACATGGGGTGTAGAGGTTACTTAAAAATAAAATCTTTTAAAAATAAATAAATATAGAAGAAGGGAGGGAAAAGAAACCCCTCATTAGAACACCATGGTAGGGGCACCTGGGTGGCTCAGTGGGTTAAAGCCTCTGCCTTCAGCTCAGGTCATGGTCCCAGGGTCCTGGGATCGAGCCCCACGTCGGGCTCTCTGCTCAGCGGGGAGCCTGCTTCCTCCTCTCTCTCTCTGCCTGCCTCTCTGCCTACTTGTGATCTCTGTCTGTCAAATAAATAAATAAAATTAAAAAAAAAAAAAAAAAGAACACCATGGTAATAATCACTGTAGGGAAGGTCCATCAGTGAATACTAAAATTAGTAAGCACACCTTTAAGGAGAGAGAGTATATTTGCCTAGCCTCAGAAATAGCCCCCTGAAAATTACCTTGGTGGTTTTAATATACAATCACATATTTTTTTATATCCCCTCCTTCCAGAAAGTAGAACATATTAATTCCCCCACCAGTGAGAGCTGGATTTAGTGTCCTTTTTTTTTTTTTTTTTTTTTAAGATTTTATTTATTTGACACAGAAAGAGAGAGAACACAAGCAGGGGGAGCAGCAAGCAGAAGGAGAAGCAGACTCCCTGCTGAGCAGGGAGCCCCATGTGGGGCTCGATCCCAGGACCCTGGGATCATGATCTGAGCCAAAGGTAGACGCTCAACTGACTGAGCCACCCAGGCGCCCCTTATGTCTTATTTCTAACAAATACAGTATGGAAAGGAAAAATAACAGATAGTGGAGAAACCTGGCAAACACCCCCTTAACCTAATGGTCAGTGTTAACATCCACCAGTAATAAATCATGTTGATATCATGTACTTACCTCTGATACGATACAGCAAGGGCACACACATCACCTCTGTGGTAGTCTTCCAGAATAATTCGTCACGTCAGTCTGTTCGTGATAAAATATCAAACAGACCCAAATTGAGGGAAATGCTACAAAACACCTGACTACTACTAAACCTGTCAATGACATGAAATACAGGGAAAGACCAAGAAACTGTCCCATGATGGAAGACACCAAGGGGACATGTAGACCAAATGCCATGTGGTATTCTGAATTGGTCCAGGGAATAGGAAAAGGACATATAGGAAAAATTAGTGAGATCTGAGTAAACTATTTTTTTTTTAAAGATTTTTATTTTAGGGGTGCCTGGGTGGTTCAGTCGTTAAGCTTCTGCCTTCGGCTCCGGTCATGATCCTGGTGTCCTGGGATCAAGCCCTGCACCGGGTTCCCTGCTTAGCAGGAAGACTGCTGCTCCCTCTCCCACTCTCCTGGCTTGTATTCCCTCTCTCGCTGTCTCTCTCTTTGTCAAATAAATAAATAAAATCTTAAAAAAAAAAAAAAAGATTTATTTTAAGTAATCTCTACACCCAATACAGGGCTCAGACTTACAACTTTGAGATGGAGGGTCCCATGCTCTACTGACTGAGCCAGCCAAGTGCCCCCCGCCCAAGTAAGCTAAGATGTTAACATTGAAGGAAGCTGACTGAAATGTACATAGGAATACTGTACTGTCTTTGCAACTCTTCCAAAATTATTTCAGAACAAAATGTTAAAAACTATCATGGTTAAAAGAAGTTTTGAAGTGATAATATTTCCTGCTTTTCTTCTGTGTACATTTGATATTTTTCAGAAGTTTTTTTAAGGGTGATACTAGTTACATGTTTTCTGAACTGGAAAGTAGACAAGCTAGAATTTGAACATAGGCTGTTCTGTCCACAAAGCTGTTGTGCCAGAAGGAGGTACACATAGTCAACTATTTAAAGAAAAGGTGGGGAGGGGCGCCTGGGTGGCTCAGTGGGTTAAAGCCTCTGCCTTCGGCTCAGGTCATGATCCCAGGGTCCTGGGATTGAGCCCCGCATTGGGTTCTCTGCTCCGCGGGGAGCCTGCTTCCTCCTCTCTCTCTCTGCCTGCCGCTCTACCTACTTGTGATCTCTGTCTGTCAAATAAATAAATAAAATCTTCAAAAAAATATTTAAAAAATTAAAAAATTAAAAAAATAATAATAAAGAAAAGGTGGGCAGGCCTGTGGAAAAACGGCAAGAGGAAAATACTCCCAAATGGTAGTTACTGGGTTAAGGTGGTAGAATTCTAAGTGTTTTGTTTTGATCTATTTTTCTAAACTTACTGTACCTACTTTTATACTTAAAAAGAAAACACAGAGTACCAGGACCTGTAGAATAGCAGAGCTTAAATTCCATGACCTTCTAGAACTGTGAACTATTTTACTGGTATTAAGAGGTAGTTGGCACTATAGTACTAAAGTGGGGAGGAAAAGTGTGGAAGTGTTCCTGCTAACAGCTGTATTTGTATTCATGCCCACTTTATCTCTTCAGTTTAAAAATACTTATTGAAATAGTAGTAATTTAAGAGAAAGGCTTGACTCCTTCTTTGCCATTGTCTCACAGTGGAGGCGAACAGGCATTTTCAAAGGCCATGTTAAATATATCCAGATAAGATACATGATTCTTAATTGGTTCCTACTTCAAAAAAAGAGAGTACTTTATCCAGCTCTTGGAACAACTGGAAAAATGGAATATGAACTGAATCATTGTCTTAGATGTGATTATAGTTTTGTGGTTTTATAGGAGACTGTCCTTACTCATGCTGAAATATTTAAGGGTGAAGAACCACAGCATTTGCCGCTTCCCTTCAGATGGTTCAGCAAACAAGCAGATAAAGCATATGTGGGAGAATGTTATTGTTGAATACAGGCAGAGGATAGACAGGTGTTCGTTGTACTGTGGCTTTTCTGTGTGTCTGAAATTATCTTTTAAAAAGTTTGAGGAAAAGATAAACTAAAAAACATGTTAAATGTGCGTTTCTATTCTGGTTTCAGTAGAATTCCAGTTTCCTTGACCGTATTAGAATGATCAGTGTGGAAAGGATGGGAAGAAAGTCCCAGCAGTTCATTTCAGACAAAATAAATAGAATGTTTAACAACAGAGTAACTGGTTGGACAACTGCTCTTTCTAGACCAAGACCTCTCACCAAGAACGAAATGCCAGTTTCTGATGTTTTTTCCTCTTTCAAACCAGCACAACAGATTTGTCCTGGACTGTAAAGACAAAGAGCCTGATGTGCTGTTTGTCGGGGATTCCATGGTGCAGTTAATGCAGCAGTACGAGGTAAAGGTGGAAGAAGGGGCGGGGGTGGGTCTTGGCTGCTAAGGTAGATCATTCATCCGAGCAGACTTTGACTCTGAGCTAAACCTATAGGCTTATTCACGACACTTTAGAGAAGGTCTAGTTCAGAGTGTGAGGGAGGTCAGACCTACATAATGGGGTTCTTTGTTTCTGGCTCCCTTTTTTGCATTGGTTTCCAAGAAGCTTCCCTGTTACATTTATTTACTTTAATTTGTCCTGGTCATGATTCTCAAGTCTTAACTATGTTTTACATTTTCTTATTTTGTGTATTTTTTAAAAAAAATATTTATTTATTTAATAGAGAATGTAGGGGAGAGGGAGGGTTGGAGGGGAACAGAGAGAGAGTCCCAGGCAGACTCCACACTGAGCGCAGAGCCCGATCCCATGATCCTCAGATCATGACCAAGAGTCAGACACTTAACTGACTCAGCCACCCAGTTGCCCCTTATTTTGTGTATCTTTGTGGGGAGCTATTCCACATCTTTTTTTTTTAAGATTTGCTCACTTCTAAGGGCAGTTGAAAGGAAAAGGCAGCTTGATTCCTTTCTGGCGCCAGTGCTAGATTTCTTCATCTCATAGTTCTCCTTCACCCAATTCAATTTGATGTGTGAGAAAAGGGAAGGGAGAGCTTACGAAGTTGGCACCTTGAGTATAAATGCTGGGACCTCCTAAGAGGCATCAGGAAGGACTGTGACTCCAGTCTTGAGCTGAGGTCAAAGTCTGCATTAAGAACTGAGTGATAGAGGGGCGCCTGGGTGGCTCGGTTAAGCATCTGACTCTTTAACATGAATCGTCTTAATCTCACGATTGTGAGTTCCAGCCCCACTTTGGGCTCCACGCTGGGCATGGAACCTACTTAAAAAATTAAGTAAAAAATAATCATAGAAAGAACTTAGTGATACAGTGCCATCCTCAGAGCCCTGCAAACACCGAGTAGCTCATGATTTGCAGCATGACATTTGAATATTGAAAATGAAAATCATTCTTTCAGGTGCCTCACAAACACATCGCAGTGGAGGAATTTCATTTCCCACTCAGTTTAAATAAAGCCAGTTTTTCTCTTTTTAGATATGGCGAGAGCTTTTTTCCCCACTTCATGCACTGAATTTTGGAATTGGGGGAGATACAACAAGACATGTTTTGTGGAGACTAAAGAATGGAGAACTGGAGAATATTAAACCTAAGGTGAAATGAAACTAATGTTTTAAAGAATATCTTTAATCTTGAGTCTTTTGCAGGTAGTTAAATTGTCTGAAGCTGCTAATAAAAACAGATTGCTTCTTTAAAACATTATTTTGCTACTGTCTTTGCTTTGTGCCCCTTTAACGTCAATGATACTGCTGTCCTTGCTTACGAACATTGCATAAAGGTATTAAAAAATCAGTGTACTGCTTGCTTAGGTTGTATTTGTAGTCGTCAGTAATGCTCTTCTTCAGCTGTAGGAAGGGATCTGATGCTCATGAGGCATGCTGTTTTGTAGATGAGAATGCAACACCAGGGGGAATCTGCTCAGACATGGGCCACGGTGGCAGTGCCATGATTCACTTCAGGAAGTAATTTTAGAGCTGTTTAACCGTAAGACAAATTAGTAATCAAGGCCTCCAAGTTTTTCTGAAGAAAATTTGAATCAGATGTGAACAGATGTTCATAAATGTGTACCCATTACCTTAACACATCATAAATGTCCTGAGTTGGCACACTGCATATAATCTTTTTCAGCTTCAAACAAAGTTGGTAACAGTTGCTTTGTTGAAAGTATGTTATTTTTTGCCTTTAAAATTTTTTTTTTATTTTTTTAAAAAGATTTATTTATTTTAGAGAGAGAGCATGAGCAGGAAGGGCAGAGGGAGAGAGAATCTCAAGCAGACTCCGTGCTGAGCCCGATGCAGGCCTTGAGCTCATTACTGAGAATGTAACCTGAGCTGACAGCAAGAGCTGTGGGCGCTTAATGGATTCCACCACCCAGGCGCCCCTTTTTACTTATTTATTATTTATTTATTTATTTAAAAGATTTTTCTTCTTTTTTTAGAGCACTGCTGCAAGTGGGGGGAGGAGTAGAGGGGAGAGGGACAAGCAGACTTCATGCTGAGTGCAGAGCGTGACATGGGGCCTGATCCCATGACCCAGAGATTGTGATCTGCGTCAAAATCAAGAGTCAGACACTTAACCAGCTGAGCCACCCAGGTTTCCCCGCCGCTTTTTTTTTTTTTTACAGTTTTAAGTAATCTGAATATCCAATGTGGGGCTTGTACTCAGAGCCCCGAGATCGAGAGTCCCATGCTCTACTGACTGAGCCAACTAGGCACCCCTGTTTTTTGGCCTTTGTAATAGAAAAACTTGTCCATATTCCTGTCTTTTGTGACAGGGTAGAAAGTTACTTTCCTGGGTTGTAGAGTAAGAGGTATGTCTCTAAGTGACAGCCACCTCATAAATTAATTTTTTTTTTTTTTAAGGAATAAAACTTGTTGAAACTTCATCTAGCCTCCTCCCTAGCTACTCTTTAGTATAACTGTGTGTTTATTTATACCAATTACATTCTCTTGGGTACTTCCATTATTTTTTTCTGGAAGTCAGGAAGTTTCTATGGCAGGAGTTGCAAATATTTTTCCCTGGCTTTCTTAGATTTCACCTTTTTTAAGTATTTTCTTCATAATGCAGAGCTTTTATTTTTACACAGTTGAATTTGTTACTTTTTTTGTGTAAGTTCTGGATTTTAAGGATTAGCTTCCAGTTCCATAATGATGGAGGAATTTTGTCATTTCCTCCTAGTGTAGTTTCATTGCTTCTTAATTAATCTGCTTGGAATTTATCCTGAAATATATGAGGCCTAAATCAGTGTTTGAAGATGGCTGCTCAGTTGAAGTTATCCCTACCATTTGACAAGTTCACCTTTCCTTCTTTTGTTTTTTGAAATGAGATTTTTATCTAAAGAGTGAAAAATAGTATCTGAACATTAGATTTGTATCCAAACATTCCTTTATTCTTGGTTATTTACCCCTCATCCCGCTTTTTTTTTTCTTCCCTCAATTATAGGTCATTGTGGTCTGGGTAGGAACAAACAACCATGAAAATACGGCAGAAGAAGTAGCAGGTGGAATCGAGGCCATCGTCCAACTTATTAATACAAGGCAGCCGCAGGCCAAAATCATTGTATTGGTATGTAGTCTTCGGGTCGGTAGTCTTTGATGTCATCAAGTCAGGTCAGGAATGTTTTTAGAAATATGATTGCTCATGAATATAGAGAATCTTTAGGTAGAAACAGTTTGTGATTCTCCTGAGAGGCTCTTCTCTGATACATCCTGTTGTGTGTTCCCAGACCAGCTATGGGAGTCCTCTTTTATCTGCTCATCCTTGTTTAGAGGTGGTTGTCTCAGCCTTAGTTTTTTACAGTTTTTTAAATTAGCTATGAAACTTGTCCTAGCCCTGAATCTCTTTTTATTAGACTGGGTTTGAATTAACTTAGATGTGTTGTTCAGTCCCACTGTTAATATGTCAAAGGTGGTATATTTATTAGAATTTCTGAATTCTCTAAAACATTGGAGATTCTGTTAGCAAAAAAAAAAATGGGTGCTTTATAGTCTTACTTCTAATAGAAAATGCTGCCCTTTGTGGAATTATAGCATTAAGTCTTCATAGCCCCAGAGATAATAGCTGTCTTTCAGTATGAAAGTTTACCTATAGATATTTGTAGCAAAACTAAATTCTGAATGATATCTGATATGTATTCAGTTCTATAATGAGATGATGTTAAGAAGATAGTCACTCAACAAACATGAGGATCAGACCCAAGACACTGTCCTGGGTCCTGAACATACAAAAATGGGTAAGACGCTGTCCCTCTCAAGGAGCACACAGTCTAGTCTAGTGGTAGATGGGCACAGCAGTATAAAGAGAGAATTAACATACTGTATGCTAATGGGAGTAATTATACTGTATACTAAGGGAAAAATAGGTTGTTTTTTTTTTCTTTTAAGATTTTATTCAGAGAGTGGGTGCACTCCAGGGGGAGGAGCAGAGTGAGGGAGAGGGGGAGGGTGAATGAATCTCAAGCAGACTTGGTGCTGAGTGCAGATCCCGATGTGGGGCTTGATCTCATGACCCTGATAACATGACCTGAGCCAAAACCAAGAGTTGGATGCTTAAACCAGCTGAGCTCCAAGTGTCCCATGAGAACAGGTAGATTTTAGACATAAAAGCTGTCACTTGACTCTAGTTTTATTGTTTGTTTGTTTGTTTGTTTTAAGATTTATTTATTTATTTATTTGACAGAGATCACGAGTAGGCAGAGAGGCAGGCAGAGAGAGTGGGAGAAGTAGGCTCCCCGCTAAGCAGAGAGCCCGATGCGGGGCTCGATCCCAGGACCCTGGGATCATGACCTGAGCCGAAGGCAGAGGCTTTAACCCACTGAGCCACCCAGGCGCCCCATCGTTTGACTATAGTTTTAAAAGAATTCATTGGTCTCCAGACAAATGGAGAAAGGAAAGAAGGCATGATAGAGGGAAGGGAGAAAAATGGAAAAAAGGCTTACACTTGTGTGTGTTTGTTGCGAAAGTGAAGGGGGATGCTTGAAGAATTTTAGGGCTGTCATTGAATAAAGTTTAAGGCTGGGATGGGTAGGAGAAGGAGGCAATGGCCAAGTATGTAGGGATTTGTATGCCTTGATAGAGGAGTTTGGATTTTTCTTATTGGTGCCAGTGCTTATTTTTTTATTCCATGGTATTTAATATAATTCACTTGTTTATATCCTTGTATTACTCCAGGAAGGGTTGTGGTTACGAGTCCACCTCTGAGGTACAGTGGCTGGTACTGAGCTGCTTAGGACACATTTGTTGCATGAACATTGCTGAATAAATCCTCCATAAATAGTCTTTGTTTCAACCAGACTTTTAAATTTGATATACACTGGTGTTCTCTACAGCACCCAAACATCAGCAGTACCCTAAATGACTCTGTGAGGGAATGATTGCAGAAGTCACTGAACATAATAGCCACAATCCAGTGACAGTTATGAGAATTTTGTGGAAACAAGATTTATGACGCATTTAAGTGGAAAGTCCAAATACTAAGCTATATGTATATTTTATTTAGAATTACTTAAAATACAAATGAGCCATGAAGGGCACTGACCCCCATACAGTCGAAAATCTGTGTATAACTTTTTACTCTAAAATTTAACTACTAATAGTCTAATCAGAAGCTCTCCTGATAAGCAGTAGATTAACACATATGTGGCATGTTATATGTATGATGCACAGTATTCTCGACAATAAAGCTGGGGAAAATGTGACTGAGAAAACCATACAGAAGAGAAAATACAGTACTATATTTATCGAAAAACATTTGTGACTACGTGAGCCTGTGCACTTGAAACCTATGTTGATCAAGGGTTTGCTGTAGTCCTTTGGTAAAGAGATTAGGGGCATGATATTTTTCCTTTTTGTTTCTTTTAACATGATAGTATTTTAGTAATGTATTATTACTGGGAAAAATCACATGGTGTACCTTTGGTATTTTCATACTAAGGAAAATGCAGTGCGAACACACAAGGTGCTTTTCTTGTCCTTGCTTGAAAATCAGAGGTGCAATGCCCTGTTCTTAAGGTTTACTCATTTTTTTATTGCTTTGACTGTTGGAGCAGAGTGTGTGTATGTTGTGCACTGGCCATCCTTTCTGGTTGCTGACATCATCGAGACTTAGATATGGAAGCACGGAAGGCAGTTCTTCGTGAGTGTTAGATGCAGAGCCCAGTGCTTTACCAGTTATGTGAACAAGGGTTGAGGATTGACTTCATCTGAGGAATTTTTGAGGCGCTTAACAATGAGAGGAGATGGTCTAGGGTAGCAGAGTCCTAACTATCTATAATTCTCATTTGGAACTACACAATCACATAATAAAGTGGTAATAAAGCTTCCAACATTTTTGCTGAAAAAAATTAAAAGCGGACGTGTGAACAAGTACTTACTTTGGCATAAAGCTTTTTTTTTTTCTTTCAGTAGAATACCCACAGAAAATCTATTTTTTTTTTATTTTTATTTTTTTAAAGATTTTATTTATTTATTTGTCAGAGAGAGAGAGAGGGAGAGAGAGCAAGCACAGGCAGACAGAATGGCAGGCAGAGGCAGAGGAAGAAGCAGGCTCCCTGCTGAGCAAGGAGCCCGATGTGGGACTCGATCCCAGGACGCTGGGATCATGACCTGAGCCGAAGGCAGCTGCTTAACCAACTGAGCCACCCAGGCGTCCCGAAAATCTATTTTTGTAAAATAAAACCTCTTAACCATAGTCCGTAAGAGAAATGGGTAGAAATTTTGTTGCCTACGTAGGAATAACTTATGTGCTGTCATTAGTTACAAACTGACTGAAAGGTTCTCTGACAATAATTTTATAATAGGGTCAACATCTATAAAAGGACATGTCTAGTTTGAGATGATAAGCCTTGCTCCTGCCACATAAGGGTGGACCTTTATCAACTATAGGAGGACAGACACGGGATTTATCTGAAAGTTAGATAATTAACATAGTTAAAAATGAATGTAGGAAATATCTGTTTTATCCTAGCAGATATTATGTGGCTCTGATTGTTCGAGACCACATTTGCTCCCAATGTTTCTCATGTACGGTAGGACAGGTTCCATGTAACAGCCAGCATTGGAGCTGGATGATTCTGGTGACTGAGTGGAGAGTGAATTGAAGGGACAACCACTCTGGAGGTAGGAAGACCAGTCAGGAGACTTTACGTTAACTGAGTGAATAGTGATAAGTTTCCAAGCCATAGCAGCATGTGTAACCAGAATGAAAGGGGCAAAAATGTTTTGGAAAGTACTGAGGATGTAAAAGCTGAGTAGTTTAATGATAAATAGATAAGGTGTGTGAAGGGAAAGATGCAGGGATGTCGGAATGGTCCGTTTGTACAGAGGATGTGAAAGGAGCATAGCGTGGGGAGATGATGAATTGGTTTTGGACATGTCAGGTCGGGAGTGCCTCAGGAAGTTTGGGAAGTTTGGTTATGGGCTAGAGCGTTCAGAGTGGGCCGAGTAGCGGGTCAAGGACAAGACCCTGAAGCATACCAACAGTTAAGGGACAGGAGGAGGAGTGGTCAAAGAACTGTCACTAAAACCCATCTAGTCCAGAGTTTCTGGTCCCGTGTTTGAGAAATCAAAGTTTCAAGAGTGTCTAATGCAGCAGTCCTTCCAGGAATCTTGGAAACCACAGATAAGTCAGTAGAGAAAAACCAGTGACTCTTCTCATCTTCTGCTCTTCTCTGCTTTGCCCCAGGGTTTGTTACCTCGAGGTGAGAAGCCCAACCCGTTGAGGCAAAAGAATGCCAAGGTGAACCAGCTCCTCAAGGTTTCCCTGCCGAAGCTCGCCAACGTCCAGCTCCTGGACACAGACGGGGGCTTCGTGCACTCGGACGGTGCCATCTCCTGCCACGACATGTTTGATTTTCTGCACCTCACAGGAGGGGGCTACGCCAAGATCTGCAAACCCCTGCATGAACTGATCATGCAGTTATTGGAGGAGACCCCGGAAGAGAAACAAACCACCATCGCCTGACTGGCTCCCATCAGTGTTACTCGCACCCCAGCTTCCTCAGATCAGTTATATCACTGGCACTACAGAATCCTTCTCTTTCCTAAGGCACTTTGCATTGTAGAATGTTCCTGGATGTTCATATCTAGTGTTTGAAGGGGAGGAGGGATTTAAATTGGTCCTGTACATAGAAGGTTGGTTTGACACAGGAGACAAATTAGCCAAGGAAGATTGTTGTTTAAATTCATTTGAAACCAGAAGGGGACTTTTTTAGTTGTATGTGTGACATACTCATTGAATTATCACAGTTTTTCCTAGGACAACATCGAGCCTAAGGACTGAACAAAATGAAGATTTTTTTTTCTTGGCTTTTCTTTCTATGGATTATGTCATATAGAGTAACGATCAGGATCACACCAACTTGGCTTTAAAACAGATGTCTTTTCCAGTTTTTAAAGTTAATAATTTAGCCCTGTGTTTTTAGTTTGCTTTAGTCCTATGTATTCACAACATTTTCTTAACATACAGCATCAGATCGAACATGCTTGTGATTCAGATATGGGATATGCTATGGTTACAAGTGAATTTGTTCCACTCTCTTAATCTTTCCCATGTTTAGCAGTGGAAGATAGGTTTTGCCCCATTTGGGGGACTCTATGGAGGGTATTATTTTTATGCTGCTGAATATCATGTCTATAATAGACCCATGCATGCAGCCTTTCCTCCCTATTTCCCCTCATCCCCTCTTTGTTTTTTTTGGGGGGGGGGTCCTTGTTGACATTACAGGCTTTTAACACATTTTTGACCTAGGAGCTCTGTTGCTGGAAATGTAAGTCCCCAGCCAGTTACTCTCATGATGATAGTACTGATGTGCAACTCATTCTTGTGTGGTGCTCTGTGCGTAGTCTGTGTAGTGCTGTCCACATTTGGAGTTCTGGTTTGGTTTGGTTTGTTTTTCCCTCAAGATGTGCTACACTTTTTTTGGAGAGAGAAAAAAAAAAAAAAGGCAACCAGAACTCTGTTTCCCATTCCATAAGCCCTGACATTATTTCGAGTTTTATAGTATCTTAGGATGTATATTTTATTTTTTTATTGGCTTAGTTTTTTAAATTATATCAGTCCAGAAAAATTTGGCCTTTTTTCATGGGGAAGCAAATGGAGCCGCTCTTCAGAGTAGGCCTTCTGCCTTGATCCCACCATTTTAGTGAAAAAGAACTAGGTTTGTTTGACTTTCAGGGTTTGAGAATTTCTTTTGAGAGAGCTCTTTATGATCTTAATGGTTTGCTTGAGCTTTAAGAACTGCCATTTCAAAAACAGTGGGACAGTACATGGTTAATTGTTCAGTATACCTATGGGATATGTACAAACTGGACCTACAAACAAATATTTTAAACTGGACCAGGTGGGTATTGGAGTAGCCTATCAGAATGTGCTCTGCACTGATTGTGTTTAACATTCAAGTTCAGCGACTAAGGCATATGTCCGATGTTCTGCTTGCAAGGCAAGTGCTGGTGCTTTGGCGAGCTGGAGGGGTTGCTGATTTGTGCTAGGAGCCACTTCTCATGGAGAGGAATAGAACTTGGGCTGATGTTTTTCTTGTGAAACGTCTTTCTAGGAATTTTTTTGGTTTTACTTTTAGTCTTTTTTTTTTTTTTTTTTTAAATACGTGTCTGAATGTATCATGTCTTCACTAACGACAGAAAGTACATGTGATGTTTACTAGACTCGTTTCCCACATTAAGGTTCCCTCTGTCTTTAGGAGCCCAGATTCTTGAGTTTATCAAGACAGGTTTTTTCTTAGCTGAGGCATAGTTCTAAGGAGGGCAGAGAAGTTTGTGTGCGAAAAGACCCATCTTATCCGGGGTTTTTTCCATTTGTCAGAGGGCGGGAGTATCGCCCAGACAAACCCATTAGGTTATTCCTGCGGCATGCGCTTCTGGCTTCCCTCTTGGCTAAGGATCAAATAGCCCTTGGTGAGCTGACCTTCGGCTCCTTTGCTTATGTGTGTAAACCTTGGGTGTTACTACGTTTTATACCTACCAGAGCGATTCGAGCAATAGTATTTGAACCACTAGCCTCTTAAATAAAATCTGCCCCATTGCTAACGTGCAGATACCGAGTCCACTTTGATTTCTTGCCCACTTTCTTTGCACTGCTTTAGGCAAAAAGTGTTCATCTGTTTTTCTTTGATAGACATCCCTGTTTGCTACAGTGACAGAACTTACTGCTTACTCTTTGGATGTCTCTCTTTATACTTTCATGTATATTTGAATGTTATGCACTGTCCAAATGAAATGTCCTAGTTGTCATTGTGATTAAGGGGCCAACTTTCCAGACAGCTAGCAGAGGTGTTCTGATCCTCCCTCCCAGCAAATTTTCATTCCTTCGCCCATCCATTCCCGATACGTTGCCAGCAGCCAGTGATGGCTGTGGATTTCTGTAGACGCATCGTAAAAGTGGCAGGTTGAGGATGTCCTGCCAGGGATGACCTAAGGCATGGTGTTTTGCTGCCTCCGTATCCTAGGCTGCCACAGGCAGTGGTCTGGCGCCCACTTTAGGGTCTTTTTGGACTGTTGGAGGCAACTTTCTAAACCAGAACTTCTGTGAAAAACCTTTACCCAACAAAACAAATCTTGAGTAGCTCATGCCCTGCTCTTAAGAATTCTGTCTCTCGTTAACAAACAAAAACACTTTTTAAAAAACCTAGTCACTGTTTACAGTTGTATGCTAAAGCCTGAAATATTGTCTGTGCTGTGGTGTATGAGCATTGCCAATTTTATATTTATTGCAGTGAAGAAGAAACTAAAAATATATGAAAATGAGGAGCATGTCCACGCTCCTAAATCTGTGTGGGTGCATGTGGGAGAAGTGAGTTGGGGTCTCTTGAAAGGAGGCTTTTTGGAGTGGGGTCTCCCAGGCTTCTCCTTGGTGTTCCTGCTTGGGGATCACTGCTGCTAGCTGACTGGACCTCCCCAACAGAAGTTTGTGATTCTGCTTTGGCGAAGTTTCATTGACTAGTAGAACTCATTCTGTTTTAGTGCATATTTCGATATAAATGTAAACATTTCACTCAAACTTGCTTATGTCTTTCTGTCTCCTTTATCAGAGTCTGGATTCCAGTGGGGGAAAAAGGGGATGCTTCCCCCTCCCACCCCCCACCCCCCCCAAACCTTATCACAAGCACATTGGATACTTAGAACATTCTGCCGCTTTTCCAGGGAACTGAATGTACTGGGCTGACTGTCCTCACATCTCAGGGTTGAAGGAGGGAAGGTTGGGATGAGCAGATACAGGGAACCCTAACTAGACACCTGGGGAAGTTGTCAGAGGAAGTATTTCAGATTGCTTATGCGTATCTGTCAGTTAAAAAGAACTGATTCTTAAACTGTTAAACTAACCTCTTGGTCTTTTTTCCTAATTTCAATCTTCAGAATTTATTCACATTAAATTTGTAATTTCCACTGTTTCTCACTCTATTCCTCACACTAATAATCATCAGTTTCCTTTTTTACACTAGAGTAACTCTTTCTGCTCTTCCCCTCCCCGCCCCCAGCATGCACTCAAGTACTTCAAATTAATTGGACTATTTTGAGTTCTTGTGCCATCTAGGGAGAAAGTCCCACTAATATTATGTAGGTGTATCCATCCCCTTTCTGCTGTTGGCTGAGAGGCCCAGGGAGAGATGGATGGTATCCATCTAAGAAGTCCTATAATTTTGGTGCCTGAGCTGGGATTTGAACCTAGCTTTAAAACCGGATTTCAGAGTCCTTGCCTTGCCACTACTCATCCAATCTGGGCTGTCTTTCTAGTTGTAGATTCTGATTCAGTGAGTTCATGATAGATACATTCCCAGTTTCCCTTCAGTTGAAGGTCCTGGGAATGACGCGAGCATCTTCTCACCTGGACCAAGCCAGCAGCTTCCTTCAGAACTTTCTGCAGCTGGTATACTCTGTTACCTTCTGTCCTCCACACAGCCACATGATTATTAGAATTTATTTAAAGTTCGTTACCTAGCCATCTTGCTTTCTACCTGAAACCAGCAGTAGAGTGAAATTGTGTTTATGGAGCAAGAATTTGTGGTGGTACACATGAAGGGGTTCAAAGACTGCTTCGCTGTTAACATGTCCATTAAGTTCAGACTGTCAGGAAGACACTTGGGTAAATGAAGTTTAAGATCTAAAGGAAACAGGAAACTAAGTATAGTCAAATGGTGAAAAGATAATTAAAATAGAAAGTTAACAGCTTCCATGTGCTGAGGAGTAGGGGGTGGGGACCACAAGGGTAGATGAAAACATTGAGGGTTCATTCATACAGAGACGTTAAGAAAGCACAGCTGCCTCCTCGCAGTCGCCCTTTACCCGTGAGTCCGGACTGTTTGCGCAGGCAGGTTAGGCTGGTTGTGTGCTGTAGACCACCTCATCTGAGCTGGATGAACGGCATCAGTGGCCTCAGGCCCATAACGTGACCACAGAGTTCAGGACAGGAACCTTGAGCATGGACTCAGCTCTCACGTTGCATCTTTGCCTCCCAGTCTAAAACAGCCTGACCCAAGTATGACCTCTTTACAGTAATGATCGTAGAACAAGAGTCAGTTACTCAACTGGGCCATCAGGACCCAACCTGATGACTAGCGACCAACCACGCCAGCAGTAATTACAGCAGATGGCTATGCCACTAAAATGTTTCTTAGCAGCTGCAAGCTTCTGTGGTTTTTTTTGTATCATCCACTTCATCACTCTTCACCACAGTGATGCTACTGAGTTAAACTGGTTCAGTCCTGGAAGAGAAGAGAATATGGAGATCCCAAGATACTTGTGTTTTTCTAGTCGTCTTCCTCCCCTGTCTAATCACACCAGGTTCTTCTCTACCCTGTCCTCCCCTGGAGGCTTTGCCTTTGTCAGGAGCTCACTGGTTCCCTTGAAGTCACAGGCAGTAGTGAAAGCAGCCCAGGCCCTTTGTCAAGCGCATCCAAACTACTAGTCAGGTGAACATCACTGGCCGGGGACAAGTGGGTAGGAGGGAAGGCTCCCTTGCCAGCACCCACTTGGGGAAAAACTGGACAAAACCAGCAGGAGAGTCCCATCTACTTTTCTCCTGTCATTGCAGGGGTGAAATCTTCACTCAGCAACATATTTTTACATAGCCACGAAGCAAAGTTCTTCGATGTTTGATTAACACATTGTCTATCTTCTACTCTGGCCTGATTTTATACTATTGCTTTTATGTTCTCAAAAGACGTTTTGCAAACTGCTCAAGCTTTGACCTTCGTGACACGTCAGTGTACCGTGGTAAGCTCATCAATAACTAGCAGTCGAAGCCATTAGATAGAACATCCGATGCCCTCCATGACTTGACCCTCTTCAATGCGTATCCTCCCACCCCTTTGGACCTTTGTGCCAATAGCACTGAACTTTGAGTCTATGACTTTGCTCTAAGTCAAGACCCCTTGTCTGGAAAATGCTCCTATTCCTTTGCTAGACCATCTTCTATTCATCTTTTCAGATCCCCCTGAGGGACACCTCCTGGGGTATTTTCTGATTTCTCCTGATTTCCCTCATTTCCAGCTCTGGTTTGTACTAGATCTCTCATCTCTGAGTTCCCATAATACCTTGTGTAACTCTTTTATCATTGCACTTACTCTGTATTATATGCTTACCCATTTGTCCACACTGTTAGATTATGAATTCTTAAGAACAGAGAATGTGTTGTAAGTATCTGTGTTCCCAGCACCCAGCTTAGTGACTAGTACACACTAGGCATTGAATAAACGAAAGAATGAATGAACAGGAGGTTGAGTGATTTGTTCATGGTCATCTAGCCAACCATCAGCACCGAAATCAATACAAATCTTTCAACTGCACTTCCTGTTCTTTCAATGATACTACGCTGCTGCTTGTGAGGAACAATGCAGGTTATTAATAAGGATCAACAAAAGTCACTTAAAAACTAGATGCCATACATACCCATCACAAAAGTTTTCGACACATTTTCTGGAATTATTTGATTGAAACTAGATGGAATTAATAAGATAGTTTATTGTTTTGTTTTTTGTTTTCAAAGATTTTGTCAGAGAGAGACAGCGAGAGAGGGAACACAAGCAGGGGGAGTGGGAGAGGGAGAAGCAGGCCTCCCACTGAGCAAGGAGCCCGATGCCAGCTTGATTCCAAGACCTTGGGACCACGACCTGAGCTGAGGGCAGACGCTTAACGACTGAGTCACCCAGGCGCCCCAATAAGATAGTTTTTATAGGAAAAGTGAAACTGAAGAAAAAGACTGGTTCAGAGGAACAAAGGTGTCTTGGATGAGAGAATCACCATCGTGAAGGCTCGGAGGACCAGGGAGGTAACAGGAGAAGCTACGGGAGGTGGCCTGTATGTGAGCCAGAGTGTAAAGAGAGCGAACTCTTTCTATTATTGAGAGCAACATGGAGTAACGGCTGAGAAGCTGCCTCTGTTATCTGTAGATAAGAGCCAGAGAGGACGAAAAGCTTCTTGAGTTGCGTCTTCTGATTTCGTAGCTGGACACCCAAGCTTTCTTGAGATAGGAAGATGGCTTATTCTTAATCAGTGATCTTTGGAGACAGATTTGAGTTGATCCATTTTTTTATCTCCTTGTTCTCAGCAGCCTAATTGACCAGCTTCATTTCCTGCAAAGCTCTGACGTTGATTCCAGCACACGGCCACAGGGAACAAGGAGGCAGGGCCTGATGTACTGTTCATGTTTCTCAGTCTGAATGGTGAAAGCCCAGGAAAGGGAAAGTGGCTGATCTGTCTGTGGCAGAAAGTTTGCCCCCTCAGTCAAAACTGCTCTCCCTTGACTCCCCTCCTACTCTTGAGACAATAGTTCAGGATAGTGCAGGCAGCCAAGCCCAGCTCCCCTGTGCTGCATTTAGGAGGTAAAGGGGCAAAAGCCATGACTCTGGAAGGCTCAGAAAGGTTAATTCCACCATGATGCACAGTGCAAGGACTTACACAGAACTTTCTGACATCAAAGTCCTTGCTTTTTCCATAGTACCATGAAGGCATGTGACAGGTTTGAGACCTGAGCCCCAGAATGACGGAGTAAATACTCTGAGCCCTAATCTGATGTGCATCCCGTTTTCATAGACCTTAGAGAGATGACCAGACCCGAGGGCAGCCCTGAGAAAGAACAGCGCTTGCACGATGGAGAGAAAGAAGGGCTATACAGGGCTTTTGCTGCTGAGGCTTCTGGGCCATTCTGTTTGAGCTCCCCCTGGATACACTGAGACCCTTTTATGGTCATGATGAAAATAGGGAACTTCAAGTCCACTTCCTTTAGAGGGCTTGCTTGTGTAACTTTCTTTTTCTGGGTAAAAGTTACTTAATTCTAATGTTGGGTTTGATCCTGCCACCCACCCGTAGGCACAGCCACTCTACCCTCTGTGGAAAACTGGGAATCTTGTCAGCTCCCTGGTTAATGGTCCCATTTCTTAGGTCCTTTCTGCACTCAGGATCAGAAGGATGGCACACAGGGAAGTAGAAGGAAGTCATCTGAGCCTTGTGACCGTACCCTGCCCTCATTGCCAGGGCTGGAGTCAGTTGTGGTTTTTTGTTTTTGTTTTTGTTTTTGTTTTTGTTTTTTTGTATAAGGTGGCAGATAATGCAGTAGCGGGACCAGCACAGAAGGTCCAGGGGGCTGCTCTGAGGCCTTGATATCTGCTTTGCTCTCATAAGTCTGGTTTTGAGACCCAGCACTGCTCTTCTTTTATGCTAACTGCTATAGCCAACAAAAAGGCCTTCTCTCAGCACTACCAGACCTGAGAAAGGACCTATTCATAACTGGGTTGTGCTGTTCCCTCCCTAGGGAGGTGGGGCAGAAGGGCTGAGGAAAGTTCCGCAGACCTGAGAACCACAAGAAGGTCTGGGGCTGTTGCCCTCCAGCCCTGTTCCAACACAGACGTTGCTGAGGATTCAAAGGTTAAGCCCATGAGCCCTTGTAAAAGGGAAGGATCCCTTCTGGGTTTATTTAGACAGATTTCTCCTAAGATACTTCTAGAAGAAAGGGAGCAAACAAGTATCAGCAATCCCCATCCCAGTTGTCTAGCTCAAAATCTATTGTGCATATCAAGCCTCTGGAGCGCTCGTAAAACCCAGATTCCTGGGCTGCACTTCTAGAGACCACAACTCAAGAACTGGAAGTCATGTCTGGTTATGCATTTTAAACAGGCCGGGCAGGGTGGGAGGGCACGCTTTGCCCCAAAGCCTAAGAGGCAGAGTTGGAGTGCCCCCAGCCTGGGCTTATTCAATATAGCACCTGGACCAACCAGCCTATAGCTGCGAACAGAGGTTCTAACAGTACCCAGGAAAGTTCCAGAAACCAGTTAAATTACATCAAGCTAAGTGGGGAGCTCAAACTCAGAATGGGAGTATTTCTTAAAATTCCAGATTTACTGGCAAGATGAGGAGGAGGTCACCATGAAAGAGAAAGTGGAATTCACTTGGCGTGTGGAAATCCTACATCCACTGTAGATAGTGACTTACAGTATAAATCGATAAAAACTTCTGGGGACTGCATGGGCTTATAATGAAAACTCTTCCTGTTATCCTGAGGGTCCTCCAGTTCGGATTTGTACAAATGTGCTGGAGTCTAATAAATTACCTACTCTACTGTCTGTAAAACGAGGGCTTGGTCCAGGAGTCTGCTAAGCTTCCCTTTGGTCTGACTTTCCAGGGTTCTTCAGATCCTGCAGCCTGCTTTTGATCTTCATCCTCAAGCATGAATGCTTGGGCAGGGGGCCAGGTCTAATCCTTGCACATACCATTTGCCTAGTATAAATAGAACAGTACCTGCACATAGTAGGTGCCCATTAAATATTTATTGCAGGAATGAATAAATATTTATAATTGGCTATGAGATAAAATAGTCCTTGTTGGAACAAAGCCCAGAGAATAAGGCAGGGGCAGGAGCTGTGGCTGCTGGAATCTTGGAAGGAAGAGAATTCTCACAAGTCTCTGGCCCAGGTGGCTTCATGCGGGTGTCCGCCGATGTCAGAGGTGGCCATGTTACATTTCTTTTCCTTTAAACAAATCTTATTTATCTTAGAAATCCATGTGTATCCTAGAAAATATAAATTTTTATTTATTTATTTTTAAGATTTTATTTATTTATTTGACAGAGACACAGCTTGAGAGGGAATACAAGCAGGGGGAGTGGGAGAAGGAGACGCAGACTCCCTGCTGAGCAGGGAGCCTGATGTGGAATTTGATCCCAGGACCCTGTGATCATGACCTGAGTTGAAGGCAGATGCTTAAGGACTGAGCCACCCAGGCACCCCAAAAGGTATACACTTTTAAAAGATCTAAAAACATTTTGAAACCATCCATAGTCCAGTGATTTTTTTTCTTTTTGCTACTTTTCTATACTTTTGGAATTAGATGAAATAATACATGTCATTTTAAGAGTCATCTGTAATTCAAAGATTTCTCGATGCTTTTCTATGCATGCCTACATATTTGGAAACCATACTCTTTTCTTTTTTTTTTTTTTTTTAAGATTTTATTTATTTATTTGACAGACATAGATCACAAGTAGGCAGAGAGGCAGGCAGAGAGAGAAGAGGAAGCAGGCTCCCCGCGGAGCAGAGAGCCCGATGTGGGGCTCGATCCCAGGACCCTGAGATCATGACCTGAGCCCAAGGCAGAGGCTTTAACCCACTGAGCCACCCAGGCGCCCCTGGAAACCATACTCTTGATATAGTGTCATATTGTGAGTGTTCTCTGTTGACATGTTCCTTAAAGTCTTAAGCTTCATTTTGGATGGCTTCATAATAGCACTTTTAACCATTTCCTCATTATGGACATTTAGGTTGTTTCCTTTATGCTTTATGTTACAAATATCGCAATCATAAGCATTACTGCCTATACATTTTTTTTAAAGATTTTTATTTGTTTATTTGACAGAGAAAGATCACAAGTAGGCAGAGAGGTAGGCAGAGAGAGGGAGAGAGGGAAGCAGGCTCCCTGCTGAGCAGAGAGACTGATGCAGGACTCGATCCCAGGACCCTGAGATCATGACCCGAGCCGAAGGCAGCGGCCTAACCCACGGAGCCACCCAGGCGCCCATGTCTATACATTTTTAATCTGTATTTCATATTTCCTCAGGATAGAGCCCCAAAAGTGAAATTACTCTGTCAAAGAGTATAAAGCTCTTTAAATTTCTTGAAACACAGGCCAAAATATTTTGTAGAGAAGTTTTTATCGATTTATACTGAAAGCCACTGTCTTTCAATGAGCCTTTTAGCTGCCTCTGCAGAGAAGAGGAGAAAGCCCTGCAAGCTTCCAGGCCTCCCTGAAGCCTTGAGGCCGCTGCAGAAAAAGGTGAGAGGACACAGAGGTTCCTTCTGTAGTTTTGCCTCAGCTGTCCCTCCGGGGGAAGGCGCCCGTCCAGTCCTCCTAAATGAGCTCTTCCTTTCTTAATGGCCCAAGGATGGAGGATGTCGGTGGTAAACGCGGTGAGGATGGAGGTGGATCCTTACGTTGAGCAAAGAAGTCTTTGTCAACAAGAATCCAGTACTTGGAGATCCTTCACGGAGACATCCATCTATTCCAACCAAAGGGAGCTTCCAGAGACGGGTAGGATTACGAAAGAGGAGGTAGTAGCCAGACAGGAGTTCAAGGTGGCTTCCAGCTGGAGGGTTGCGGCCCCTTTAAGGCCCAATCCGGGACTTGGCCCTTTAAATCTGTGTCAGTTTCTCCTGACGTCAGCGGGCGGGCCGGCCGCCGTGCTGTTTACCGCCTCGCGGCACCGCACACTCCCCGGAGTT